TATATATATATATAACAAGTATTATAGTTTGCATACAATTATAATAAATTGCAGAATTTGTTACATTTAATCTCTCATGTTAATACATTAAAAATAAATGTTATGTCAGTAACACCTCTCAATGATTAGAGAAAAACTTCACATAAATGTAGCTTCACTACCTATGCAGGTTTTCTTAAGCTCAGAGGGGAATATAGTTACTCAAATAATTGTTCTCCATGTTTCCATGTCAGTAAGTTGATTCCATCATGAAGGACACTATAAGAGATAATAGCCAGAATATGTAGCCAATTTCCATTTGCAAATAGTTTTTATTACATAGGAGTAAATATTTTCTTATAAATTCTTGCCAAATGCTCATTGCTACCAGTATTGATAATTCAACTTAATGTATACGAGTTAGGGTGGAGATCCTAGTACTCAAGAAAAACTGCACATGAAAATTATGTGGTATGAATTGGGTTTGAAAGTAGACATCAGGTGGGGTTTTCAGGCTCTCCTGCTGTAATTGCACAGAAATACTCATTTCTTTGAGTAAAAGATATCAATAGGCTTTGGCGACAAAACAATTTAACCGCAAATACTCACATTCTAATATTTCCTCAAATGCTCCTACATGCTGCAGAACACACTTATCACGAGAAAGCTCTTTGATGAAATAATAAATTGTGCTCAAGAAGATTTTTACTTCACATAATTGATCTTGCATCAGCCTCACGCTGGTACTATTTCTTTCCTAATGCCTCTACGTGCCAGAAAAGTGGGCAACCAGTTGCAATCAATTATCATGTTCCTTGATGACACATCTTAGAGGATAGCTTTATTATGGAAACCCTCTTCTGTAAAGGCATGCTCCAGTAGCATTGCTTCTATATGTTTACTTCCACATTACGATCATATTACACTTAAATAAGGTAGGTGGTCAGTCAATCATACATCTATGGTAGTAACGATGAATATTTTTTTAAATACTTTACGCTATTTTGAGGATATTAGAACCAACCAGGATTTATAAATACATGTACATGGTCCAATTTTAACAGATTGGACTGTAATTAAAGTATTTGTTCCAAAATTTTATTAAGATTCTCAAAATTTAATTTCAGAACCTGAATTTGATTTCCACTAGCCTTAATTCCTCTGGTTAGAGCTTTGAACTTTCTAATTATTACTTTAATGGACAAACAGCAAAAATATGGGTACAAAGAGCATCCCTCCCTTCTTTCTTTGCAAACTTTGTTTTCTTTGTGGCCTTTGTGATTTATACTTGCGAAATGGTTTTTGAATAATGAAAGAACACTTTTATCCTGCCTTTGCAACCTGTATTAGTCTTTCTTATGTTTGTTCTAATTTCTATAGTTAATCACATTAGTTAGTAACATATTATGCAATTTTATTTTTGCTAAAATCAAAATAAAATGTTTGCTTTGTAATGACAAGAATTTGTAATGAAAACAAAATATGGCCAGTTACATTGCTACTCAAGTTATCAAAATTATCCTGTAATTTTAAATCACTGATGTCTGAAAATATATAAAATTGCCATTTACTTGGCGAATACACCAAACGTAGTTCACAAGCACAATGAAAATTTTCCTTCACCATTTAACCCCACTTATCCCCATTAAATGTATAGAGTATTCGGAAATTATATTTTAAGAACATATTTGCAGAATTATTTATTTCTCCAGATCCTCCATAAACAATGAGCAAATACATAAATAAAAAAATACCTTTGTATTAAAGTATTTAAGTTTTTTAAAAAATATTTTTTCTACATTAGTATATAAAGCATGTTTAGTTGAAATAAAAGAAATAGAGCCATTATAACAGATATTTATTTGATCAGTTTTTTCAACCACTTTGTGACTCTCCTCAGTAGAGACATGAAATGGCTGCAGGGAAGGTAGAATAATAATGTTCTACCACCTATTTAAAAAATAAATATGATGAAATAATTTGATGAAACTATATCTTCAACTAGTGAAATCATCATAAATACCATCCCACTTCCTAGAATAAAGATTACTTATTAAGAAATCTATAAAATTGTTAATTAATATATTAGTTATTATTGTCAAACATCATCATTAACATTTCAAAATATAATGATGATTAACAGACAGGTTTTCTATTAAAAATGCATGTTTTTTTATTAGCTTATATTATTATTTGTGGCTTATTACAGCTCTCAAATTTTGTTGAAGTGTGTTTCAATACATTTTCATTTAAAAAAATATTTTTCACATTTGTTTGAATGTTTCAGTGTTTTCTTGACTAATTTATGCATTATACACAATTACAAGATTATTAGATTTGGGGCATGTATTAAGCCAACATTAAAATCAATGCATATTATGAATCCATAAAGAGCATTTTCTGAGTATAAATGTATCTGTCTGTCACTTCTTTTATTGTTAAACTGTGCATTTTAAAATTCATGGTTGTTTGAAAGAAAAGTAACTATCAATCAACTCTTTTTCTGAAGAAGAAATACACTTAAAAATATTTCCATCATCAACTATGATAATTGAAATATATGTGATCACATATAGCATTACTTCCAGCAGGAAGTAAAAGGGTAGGTCTTGGATGCTGCGAGAGCATCCAAGTGCTCAGACATAGGTCCATAATATTGCAGTTTGCAAAATGACAAGATATTCCCAAGTCATTGCCAGACATCACAAAACACAGAAGACAAAGGCACTTCATATAGAAGAACATCCATTGTTCTAAACTTTGAAGGGTGTAATGATAGGATGGCATATTTAATCCTTTAATGAAGCTTCTATTACAATTTGTGACATAGGAAGGTCATTTTCTATATTCAAAAATATTTTCAGAAAGACAATAACCTTTACTGAAGAAAATTTTGGAAAGTTGTTATATGTCCACTCCTACAAAAGGTAGTAAGAATAGAAAAAGAGTCAAATACAACGATTTGATAATTCGTATTTCATTCATTTTTACCCTTAACTGTATGTATTTGATAATGCATATTCTAGTGGCTTGATAGTGTGGAATTCCTGCCTTTAAAAGTAGTCAAATAAATTTTGACATAAAAACTAAACAATCTTAAATGAACATTTGAATAACCGAAATAAGTACATTATTGAAGTCATAGCAATTTAATTAGTAAAGAATCACATGCAAATGAAAATAGAAAGAAACAATGCAAAAAGGACACATACCAACTTCTGACAAGTGGTTGAGAGAACTGATAACCACATACTTCACACAAATATTTCCTGCTTCTACTATGTGAAGCATGGCCTTTCTTCAAACTGCACTTCTGTTGAAGATCATTACTGCAAGTTTTGCATTCACATTTACAACCCTGAAAGAACAGACAATCAAATCCAACAAAAGCAAAATCAACACATTTATTGAAGAATCACAAATGGGAACATGCAAAATAATCAAAACATGAAAACACAAGGTGGGCACAGGATGTAACGAGGCAGGTTCCACCAAAAAACCTCCCATGATACTTCGATTGTAATATTTTATTCAAAATAGTAATTTTATGAGTCAACTCTGAGTGAAGATTTAAAAAGTTTTTAAAGTATTTACTACTGATTTTTACTATCTCGTATACTACCATATTAGTTTAACATAGTACATGAGAAAGTACTGTAATGCTGTGGAAAAAAGTGCACATTTTTCAACAGTCAACAGTAAAAATCATTTTGTGGGTTCTTGATACCAAAATAATGTATTTTCATTGCTCCCATGTATCATAAATTACTTCCACAAAAGTGTAGTGAAGTCAGAATCCACCTTTTGAGGGTCTTTGATACTGGAAGAATGGCTTTTAGCGAAACATCATTGCAACTTGAATTTGAAAAAGTTACTTGGGGAGGATACGTAGATGATTTTCTCAAAATTTATGCATAATTCAAATTTTCTCCAAATTGTTTCTTTAAATGTCTGCTCAAAAGGGAAAAACGGCTCCAAATGTTTTGCTCAAAAATAGTAAAGTTTTCTCAATACCATGGCTTAGGTCCTACTTTCATTAAAACCTTGGAACTTCGAAAAGTGCATCAAACTCTTTTTAGACTTTTCTTTGATAACTGATAGTAGCTAGATACTATGTCAACTTTATTTTTATCATTTTATTTTACTTTTTTTTTTTTTTTTTTTTTTTTTTTTTTTTTTTTTTTTACACATAATTTTGAATTGAAATGCTGAGGATCACAAGAACATTACAAATATATTATACTCTGGGAAAGGATAAAGGTATTCATGATGTCAAGATAGTTCATGCAATTTTTACCCTGAACACCCTGTTTCAAAACCCAGCCAAAGTAAATGTTTGTTTTGTTTTTCTTTAACCTTTTGGTAAGAATGTAGCAAAAAGCACTTCATTCAATACCAGAAAGCAGTATTCATTTAAACTTTTGAAATTTTAAAAAGGAAAAGAGATGAATTTTCATGAGGACTTGTTCGAAGTGAAACTTTGTTTGGAAGAGATTTTCAAGTGATGGCTGAAGTGGGCTAGAAGTTGCAATATTACATTAGACCCTTTGAATGGTTCATGGTCCACACATGTAAACTTCTGTTTCTTATTTAGTAAGCCTTGCTTCACATTCTCTGAGTAATGTTTCAACCCCTAATTTAGAAACTTCACATGATTCCTATAATTAACACTATTCAATACATAATAATAAAATAAACAAATTAATGATCATATGATAACTCCTTAATTTTCAAACCAGAATTTTCGTACCAAATTTCTAACCTAAAATTTTATAAATAGTGTAATTGTTCTAAACTCGCCAATTATGTAATTTCTAGAAATTTATTTTTGAATATGGGTACTAATTAAATAATATTTTATAGATAGGGTGCAATTTATAAGTGTCAGACTGAATGATGCAGGTTTTATTCATAGTAAATATAAGAAATTGGTAACAGTCACCACAGTATACACACTTCACATCACTGTAAAGTTGGTAATACCTACAACACACAGCACTTGGTATTCACTTTCACAAAAA